TGTGTGTTGCCGTGTGTGTGTGCACCTGTGTGTGCACCTGTGTGTGCGTGTGTGTGTGCACCTGTGTGTGCGCACCTGTGTGTGCGTGTGTGTGTGCACCTGTGTGTGCGCACCTGTGTGTGCGCACCTGTGTGTGCACCTGTGTGTGTGCACCTGTGTGTGTGTGTGTGATGCAGGTACTGTGCTATAATGTCGGAGCACTCAGTCTTGATGCATTCACACGTGATGTGCACGCCTTCTGCTTGCATCAGGGTGGATACTACCTGCCGTATGCATATTTCGTGGCCATGTTCGTCTACTTCATGATCCAACTCATCCTCCTCGTGCATGAGTACGCTTTCTTGTGTGTGTGCGTGTGTGTGCGTGCGTGTGTGTGTGTGTGTGTGTGTGTGTGTGTGTGTGTGTGTGTGTGTGTGTGTGTGTGTGTGTGTGCGTGTGTTTAAGGACGTCTTGTGACTTTTGTGTGTGTGTGTGTGTGCCTGGGTCCTTACGCTCCCTCTTGTTCGCGCTTTCCAACGTCTTTCCTTCACCCTCTTTGTGTTGACGATGGCAGGCTAGTTCCCCGCCTTGATGCAGACAAGTCTCTGAATCCCCTCCCCGTCTCATCCATAGTACGTTGGCCGTTATCGACTGGCATTCGAGCCTCCATTCGTCACGCGCCAGCTCCTTTGTGCCCAAAACGCGTACACACGATGTGCATTCATGCACCTTCACATGCGAATGCGCATCCATGCCCAACATCCATTCACGCGCACGTGCATCTCATGCCCAGTCGTCACGCTGTTTCGTCCATCTACCGGTTGCTTACTGATGTGTTGTTTTAGTTTCTCACGTGGGACTTCAAAGTGCGAACGCGAAATGACGCGGAGACGCACCGCGCGCGCTTCAAGAAGAACATGCACGCGGCCCTGGAAAAGGTGTACAGCATTGTGGCGACGGCGGTGTTGCTGCTGTAATGCGCTGTCCACATCTGTGTGTGTGTGTGTGTGTGTGTGTGTGTGTCGTGTCGTGTGTGTGTGCACCGGGTTTTTCTCATTCTCGGCGGCGAATACGTGCCTGTACTTGAGCTCACGCCGCTTGTGTTGCTTTCATCAGGGAGAGACATCACGCGCAACAACGGCAATGGTGGTGTGGCGGACGTTCACATTCACGCTCGCGCTCGCCATCGTCGTTGGTGTTTGGTTTGGCATCGACAGCGTCAACAAAGTGTGTGTGTGTGTGTGCGTGCGTGTGTGTGTGTGCGTGTGTGTGTGCGTGCGTGCGTGTGTGTGTGTGCGTGTGTGTGTGTGTGTGTACACGCTTCTTCTTGTGTGTGTGTGTGTGCTGTTGCGTTTAACCGGTGGTTCTTTTGAGTGCATGGTGCAAGAAGAGCGACATGCGTCCTTGTCGCATGCTGACATGAGCAACGCGACACTTGCCATCACACAGCGGTACGCGAACAGTTCGGACTCACTGGAGGCGCTGCTCCCGGCGCTCACGCTCGCCGCCGTCAACGCCATCGGGCCAACCGTCTTCTGGGTACACTTGCCGTCCATTGAGGGAGAGAGCGGGTGCTGCTTCATTATGTGTGCGTGGTTGTGTGTGTGTGTGTGATTGTGATTTTGTCTGTCTGTGTGTGTGTGTGTGTCTGTCTGTCTGTCTGTCTGTCTGTCTGTGTCTGTCTGTCTGTGTCTGTGCACATTCCCTACATGTGCTTTTCTCGATCTCCAGAGAGCACAAACACGCACACATACACGCTTACTCAAACTCATCCACACACACACGCACACGCACACGCACACGCACACACACTGGCGCGTGACACAGCGCATGGCACGAACGGTGGAGCGGTACTCGCCACTGGCTGTGTTGAAGTTGACGCTGCTGCGCTCGTTTCTTCTCCGCATCGTCAGCCTTTACGTCATCCTCACCTCCCTCTTTGGCATCAATCTCAGCGACATGCAGCTCGCGGTGAGCGTTGTGTGTGCGTGTGCGTGTCGGTGTGTCTGTGTCACTGCGTGCGTGCGTGTGTGTGTGTGTGTGTGTGCCTGTGTCACTGCGTGTGCGTGTCGGTGTGTGTGTGTGTGTGTGTGTGTGTGTTTGTCTGCCTGTCTGTGTGTCTGTGCCTATGCCCGTGTCTCTACGTGTCTGTGTGTGTGCCTGTGCACCTTCGACAGTGACGTATTTGTTGTTTGTTTTTCGATTGCTCATCTGCCTTGCTGATGACAACGGCGGTGGATGGTGTGGAGCAGCAAGAGAGCTGTTGGGAGACACTCATTGGGCAGGAGCTTTACCGCGTGCTCCTCGTCGACACGGGCTTTGCCTTTGTCACCGTCATCCTGTACGTGTGTGTGTGTGTGTGTGTGTGTGTGTGTGTGTGTGTGTGTGTGTGTGTGTGTGTGTGTATGGTGTGTGTGTGTGTGTGTGTGTGTGTGTGTGTGTGTGTATTTGACATTGATTTCTCGACGGCACCTCATTCCCAAACTCCCAACCCAACCATCGCCCGTTGCATGACTCTGTGTGTGTCAAGGTATGACACGCCTCGATACCTGATCTACGAGCACGGCCAGGGCTATGCGATGTTTGATTTCATCAACCGGAACTTGGGCCCACCTCAGTTCTTTCTCACCTCAAGCATCCTCAGCGGCATCTATCGCCAGGTGGCGGTTTGTGTGTGTGTGTGTGCGTGTGTGTGTGTGTGTGTGTGCGTGTGTGTGTGCATGTGCCTGTGTGTCTGTGTGTCTGCGTGTCTGTCTGTCTGTCGGTCTGTCTGTCTGTCTGTGTGCCTGCGTGTGCGTGTGCATGTGCGTCTACCTGTGTGCCTGCCTTCCTGCCTGCCTTTCTGCCTGCCTGCCTTCCTGCTTGCCTGCCTAACTGCATGTCCGCCACACCTTTTCCGACTTGCGCCTCACGATTGCTTTTGACATTGATTTGCGGCTGCCGCCATTTGAAGACCTTGATATGGCTGGGGACGTTCTACAGTCCCTTGCTTCCATTCCTCGGCGCCATTCTCAACACCATCCTTGGTCTGTCGCTGTGTGTGTTGATTGTGTGTGTGTGTCTGTGTGTGTGTGTGTGTGTGTGTCTGTGTGTGTGTCTGTGTGTGTGTGTGTGTGTGTAAATACCTTTCTGCTTCCCTGCCTGTCTGCCTGTCTGCTTCCCTGCCTGTCTGCCTGCCTGTCTGCCTGCCTGTCTGCCTGCCTGTCTGTCTGTTCACCTGCCTACCGACCGACCCACTGATTTGCCATCCCCATGCCCCTTGTTCTGCCGCTTCTCATAATCCTTGCGGCTCTCAGTTGTGGGCAAATCTCTGGCCATGTTTCGGGTCCAGCGCCCTTCCCAGTACGCATTTGATATCCACAACTTCAAGTGAGTCAGCATCCTCTGCACGAGTTTGAAAGTTTGTCCACATGTCCGCACTTGGCACGCTGTTTCTTCTCCATGACGTGTGTGCACATTCGTCCTCGCATCCAAACACTCACCACCACAAACACACATGCACATGCACATGAACACACACCCACTCACACAAGCACACTCTCACACTCTCTCTCTTATATACACACTCACACAAACGCACTCTCTCATACAAACACACTGTCTCTCATACAAACACACTCTCACACAAACACATACATACATGCATGCACTCATGTATACGTCCCTCCCCCTCTCCAATACAGACAGCTGTACATTGGGCTGCTGCTCTTGTCGGTGCTGCTGTCGCTGTCTCCGGTCGTCTACTCGCTGGCCAACTTGACGCCGAGCCCCTACTGCGGCCCTTTTAGGTCGGTCGTTGCATGGGCACGAGGAGAGCGGGGAGGGGCGATGTCAAGGCAAACAAGTGCATACACACAAAGGACACACCACACATCACATCACATCACACATCGTACAAACAGACAACACCAACGCTCGCATACACTCACTCACACACGCACATACCCCGTTATCCCTCGACGTTCTGGCCTATGCCTTGCGTTCGCACGCCCTGATTGTCAACCTACCTGTCTCTGTCTGGCCTTGCTGCTGCGTTCGGTGCTATATGCATACGCATGCACATGTGCGCCGCGGGCCTACTTCCAGGAACTACACTGACATTTCGTCGGTGGTGACGGCGATGATTAGTGATGCGCCCAAGCACCTACAAGAGGCGCTGTCTGTGCTAGGTCAACCTACCGTCGTCGTTCCCGTCGTCTTTGTTCTCCTGTAAGGTGGTGGTGGTGCTGATTTTGTTTGTGTTTCGTTGGGAATGTGCGCATGCGTGAACCTAAGACCTCTGTGCGTGTGTGTGTGTGTGTGTGTGTGTGTGTGTGTGTGTGTGTGTGTGTGTGTGCGTGTGTGTGTGTGTGTGTGTGTGTGTGTGTGTGTGTGTGTGTGTGTGTGTGTGTTGTGTTTAGTGCACGCGTGCGTAGCTTCATGCCCTCAGTCTGTCACCCTCCACCACTTGCTTGCCCCAAAACCGCTGGATGCAGGATTGCCACGTACTACTTCTTCCGAAAAAGTCAACTGCAAGCCGCGCAGTTTGCACAAGCACAGGTTGGTGGTAGTCCGTGTGCACGTGTGCAACAAGGCGCGTGTGTCGCGTGCAGCCACTTGCGGCTTCGCGAACCTGCCTATCGCCTCACTCTCATTGCCATCACATCACTTCATCGTCATCACATCATCAAATCACCACAAGTCGCTTTCTTCTTCTGCAACACGTGGTTGTGCTGATGCAATGCATGTTGTGTGACATCACAGTCATCACAACCACACGCCAACCTACTTCCACATATTGACACGCGCTTACCAACCTTGCATCACAACACCCACACACATAATATTACACGCCGATACGCGTGCCAAACATCGCCGACAGCGGTTGGCGGCAGATACCCACGATGCATTCAAGCTGGTCACCCGCCTGCAGCGAACACAACCATCATCATCATCATCCCAGCAGGCACAACAAGCGCAACCGCCATGATTTGACTGCGTCGACCAAGACGCATGCAGAACTGCAAGCATGCCCCGCTTGGCCCGGTTGCTTGTGGCTTGGTCGTGTAGGGTTGTGTGCGCATGTTTCGGTCCCAACCGTCTTGTGTGGCTTTGACTCTCATCCACCGAGCCTACCCAACTTTCGTGTGCGTGTGCAATGCCGCTGATGCGTGTGAAAGCGCGGTTTTTAGTGAAATTATTAGACAATTCTCGGCGTTTGATTTTGGGCAGCTTCTGAGATGCATGAGAAATGGCGTGCCGAGGGTGTTGCGGTTTTGTCCGCTAAAAGTCGTCAGCAACACACCCTACCCATGCCGAAAAAAGGAAGCGTCGTCAGAATCAGTCGGGGAAGTTGTTCTGCTCTTCCAACACGCACACACGCACACACACACCAGCACACGCGTGATTGCTTGATAGATCCATCGAGAAGGAACAACCCTGTTTCCCGCTCATTTTTCCAATCGCACCAAAGCCAACTGCCTCCACTCCCTCACGCGTATCCTCTCTGACTGGCATCGTTGCAACGCATACACAAGGTGTTACATTACAACGTCAACACTTGAAGTGCCCTCCCTCCCATCATCACTCCCTTCTACCTCAGCAATCTCCTTCCTCCGGCATCCAGCATCCACTCACAAGGCCTCGGCTCATCATCCGCCATCCTTGGTTGTGACAAACAAGAATACAATCGCCACCCACCGCCCCTCGCGCCCTTTCTTTTCCTCTTTTCTCGTCGCACCCTTACCTTCTTGCGCGAAGCCTTCCTTCCCCTCCCCGTTCCCTTCCAAGCATTGCGTCCCCTCGCCACCGGCTCGCGTGTCTTCCTCGTGATACCCAACCACCTGCCCCATCACAAGACCAGAACGAGCCGGCCACAAGCTGTCAGACAAGACCAGACGATTGACAACCGCAAGAGCAACGACAGCAAGCCCCACCAAGACCCCATTCCCATCGTCGCCCTTTCTCCCCCTCCCCTTCTCTTTAGTCTCTTTCCTCGCCACCACCGCCGCCGCCGCCGCCACCACCCGGCTTCTTTCCCAAGATCGCCCAGCGCAGCAGACAGACAGACCAACCAACCATGTTCGTGGTGGATGTGACAGACACACCCAGAACGCTGCATGCGTTGCATGCCTGTATCCTGGATTCCCAGGCCTTCAGCAAGAGCACGGCCTACGTGGTTGGAAACATCTCCAGCTTAAACCCGTCGCGGCGCGCGCTGATGCGCTTCCAATGCTTGCTCTGTGAGCTCATCAACTCCATGCCGCCGCTGGATCGGCAGCTCCGGGCGTTCAAGCGCCTCTTCCCCACCGCCATGCTTGTGTCGCGCTGCGCGCTTCCACACGTCGACACATCCCTCTATGTCCTCGTCCCTTTCCCTACCCCATTCCCAATGGTGCCTCCGTCCATGCCAACACCAGGAATGATGCAGATGATGCCTCAACACCCACAGCCACCACAACAGCAGGTGATGCCTCAACCCCCACAGCCACACCAGCAACAACAACAGCAACAACAGTTTGCGCAGGCGCTACCATGGACTCCATTTTATCCGGCCATGCCTTTCACGCCAGCTACCGCACCAGTCGCCACCACTTCGTACACTTCCACAACTACAACGCCAACTGCGACAGCTGCAGCGCAGCAGATGATGTTCACGTGGCAACAACAACAGCAGCAGCAGCAGGACTGCAACGACCTGGGACGTGGCAACGCCGCGAGCAACAACAGCAAGACCAACCCGCAGCAAGGACCGCGTGCCGTGCAGGTGATGGCAAACGCACGGGAAAAGAAGCAGCCCAAGAGCAAGAGCAAGAAGGCTCGCCGCAAGGGTGCAACGACGAAGCACAACAACAACAACAGCACCGCCGGTAGCAGCAGCGGGAAGGCACACAAGAGGGTCCTGAGGGTCAGCACAACATTGGCACGGTGTCCTCGCCGCAAAGCCAGCGAGACCAGCATCAGCAGCAGCGGGTCCACGACGGCAAGCTCTTCTTCTTCCTCCTCCTCCTCCCTCATCAGCACCTCGACCAACGCTGTTTCAGAGGAGGCTGGTCTCACTACTGCAGCTGAAACAAAGGAGGCAACCACAGCCCCCCACTGCCAGAACAAGCAGAAGCGGAAGCAGAGCAAGAAGCAAAGGAACGGCGCCGGTGCCAGCGTCACGCACAGCAGGGGCCAGAGAACAAAGGGGATGCACATGCACAACAGCACAACAAAAGCAAGGAGTGCGCTGAGGGCAGCGGTCATCGCCGAGCACGGCAGCATCGGCAACAGGAAGGATGGCATGGCAAGCATCCTCAGCACCAGCTTCGCCACAACCAGCAGCAGCAGCAGCAGTAGCAGCACCAGCCTTGAAGCCGCACCCACTACAACGATTGTTGCTGCGCAACACACGCACACCAAGAAGGAGAAGCGCAGCAGTGGTAACAATACCAGCACCAACGCAAGTCACAAGAACCCCGGGTGTGTTCGGAGAGCCGACCTTGCAGCAATCTTGTCTGCCACCGCCTAGTTGCTCAACCAGAACCGGAGAAGGGAATCCTTGGAAGAGGATTGCACCATGGATGCCCTTCTGCCTTTGTTCTCTTAAGGCCCTGCGTTCTTCCCTTCTTCGATTGGCCCTTTGTTTGGTTCGTATTTGTTTGGTTTGTTTGTTGTTGTTCTGCATGCTTTCTGTGTGTGCAGGGCTAAACACGCCAATCTATGGCACTGCGTGCTGTGTTTCAGTTTCGGTTGCACGTTTTGAAATGCCGCGGCATTGCTGTTTGTCCTGTTGCTATATTAAACATATTTCTGAATGATTCCATGTATCAATAATGAGCCGCGAATAAAATAAAAAAAACAAGCAAGAAGCAAGGAAACCAAAACAAAACCGGAGGAGTTTGTTTTGCTCCGCTTGCTTTGGCTGGCTGGCTTGCTGCTTTTTTTGCTTGCTTGCAGGCAGCAAGCACAATACAGCAGAAGGAACCACAAAGGGAGTGAGGGGACAACACACACCACAGCAAACCACACAGCAAACCACACAAAAAACGACGGGATGGGGAACAAGCAGTCCTCGGTCTCCATCTCAGGTGAGTCAGTGAAACGTGAGTGTAAGGAGGAGGAGATGGGCAAGATCTGCTCTTTCTCAAGATTCACACACGCACGCAAAAAGTGAAGCAAGCAGAGCTTGTGTCCGTCCGTGCATGCATGCGTACTTGCTTGACAACACAACATTCGTGCTTGTGAGGATGATGATGATGAGGGTGATGATGGTGGTGCTCGAGGATGCCGTTTTGGGAGCATGAACACAGCTTGCTTCAAAGTCACTCTCTCATATGTGCTGATGCTGCCGCTGTGGCTGCTGCTGTTGTTGTTGTAGCGAGAAACAGTGCTGGGGAGGACGCCGTGCCTGCAGGCAGACTGTCCACCAGCAGCAAACAACGCGCATCCGCCCTCCTTTCCCTCCCAAACACTTCAGCGTGAGTGTGCGCGTATCGTATGTGTATGTGTGTGTGTGTGTGTGGTGGCCTCTGTTAACTCTCGACATCTCTTCCAGCCACACACTCACACACTCGCACACTCTCTCTCACACACACTCACACACACACACACTCTCTCTCTCTTTCTCTCTCGTTTTGATTTTCCAACACTTCACCCACCTACGTGCGATTCCGCCTGTTTGCACCAACCCCTTCTCTCTTCCACACGCCTACGCCCCCCTCCCACCTTCGTTTCTGTGTACAGCACGTCATCTGTGCGACAATCTGTGGACTCCAACGCGCACGAAGGCGCGCCGTCATCAAACACGACCAGCGATTGCGGAGGCGCCGTGCAGGAATCATCACAGCCGCAGTCACCGTCAGCGACCACCACGCACAGCAGCCAGCAACCTACACACGAAGGACCCGCCAACACAGAGCAAAGCAAGGCCGCCACCAATGGCGACGCCCCGCCCATTCTCTTGGCCGGGTACGAGCCGCTGTACCCCAACGACAACGAGGTGTTGCCCGTCGTTCTTGATCGAGACGAGTCCGGATTCGGCTTCACCTTCGTTGGCCCCGCCGACTCCGAAGGCATGACAGGTGAGGAAGGCAGCAAGTGTAAGCACGCACTCACGCTCGCGCACGTGCACGCCATGTAGCGTCCCCTTGTGTCCCGTTGTAGTGTAGTGCATGGGTTATTGGGAGGAGGGGCGGTGAACGGCCTCGCGAACGGCCTGCCACAATGCTGCGCAGATCCTTGCTATCACCCGCTTGTCTGCTCGTCCCGCTGCAGTGGCACACGCGTAACACCTCTAACACATCCACACAACACATGCGCACGTGCAGGACTTTACATCACGCGCGTAAAGCCCAACACACCCGCCGCAGAATCAAACTTGCTCATGCGCGCACAGCAGATCCTGGCCGTGAATGGCGAAGATGTGCTCCTTGCATCCAAGTTTGACGTACAGAACATGCTTCGTCAGTGCGATACCGTACTGCTGGAAGTCAAATACGACGCAGAAGGCTTTGCCGTCTACGACCAAGGTTTGTGGTGGGCGGGGGGCAGTATGTGTGCGTGCGTGTGCGTGCGTGTGCGTGTGTGTGCGTGTGTGTTTGTGAGTGTTTGTGAGTGAGTGCGTGCGTGTGAGTGTGAGTGTGTGTGTGTGTGTGTGTGTGTGTGTGTGTGTGTGTTTTGTGAGTACGTGTGTGTGTGACGGATACACAGATACACAGATGCACACTAGTCTCTCCATCAACGCGCTTGATTGAGGCTGCTTGCCTGCAAGCAACCAGATCACGATTGCGCTGTTTCCAGCCATGGTGGTGCGGCTGCCGTTCACATGCACACATGCACACTCGTTGTGCAGGAGAGGAGCTGCGACGCATCAGCTTCATGGTGTTTGCAGATGCGGAAGCAGAGGATGGCGAGAACGAAATTCAAACCTTCAGCGCACGCTACCTGGGACATGCTTCCATTCAAGGTGGCGTCACCATCCACCCTTACCGCTCACATATGTGTGTGTGTTTGTATTTTGTGTGCAGTGCTGCATGCTCTTGAAAGGGAGTGTCGTCTCATGAATCTTTACAATGGGAAGTCCTGTTTGGCTCACGCATTGGCCCGGTTCGAACTCTGTCTTCCGTTTGTGCAGATGCGCGGCTAGAGTCCATGCATGCCGTGTACAAACAGCTGCGCAAAAAACCAGAAAAGAACCACAAGACGAAGCTGCTGCTTGGTGTCGGTGTCATGGACATTCGCGTCTTCCCCGCACGCGGCAACCCGGTACGCCCATTGCACTCCAGCCATATGTAACAAGCGTGACTGCGGTATACCGCGTGCTTCGTGCTTGTCGAGCCCTTGACCTCGCTCTTACGCTTTTGCGCACGCGAACACTTGCGCTCACTCACACGCACACACATTCACACACACTTGCATCGACACACAACACACACACACTTACCCACACGCACACTGGCGTCCACGCACACTTACGCTCACTCACACACTCACACACACACACACACTCTCTCTCTCATTTACCCACACGCACGCGCTACCAGAGCCCTGATCTGGCACGCCGCCATCTGCTGATTGATGTACTGAACTGTGTTGCCTCGAGCAACGTACTTGCGCTCGTGAGCAACGACCTTGTTGTCAATAGCCACCGTCAGAAGACGTGCTACATCTACACCCTCAAGAACAAAAAGGAGGTGCGTCGTCGTGTATGCACAACCAACCACGTGCACATTTGCGTGCACTCGCTCATGCACACGCCTCCGGCCTGTGCCGACTGAATTGCCCGGACGTGCCACATCCTGCTTTGCTGTTCATGTTGTGGCAATTTGGCTAACACATGCGGTCGTTGTGCTGCTTCTAATCCTCTTTCCTTATGTCTTCTTCTCTTTCACTGTCACGCGTATCACACTTACAGGCTGCGCGGGCCGCTGACGTCATTTCTGCCCGCTGCAACGCTGGGTTTTCGCGCGTGCAGCGTGAGCTGAGTCGCCAGCGCCAGCGCACCCAATCCATGCACATGACGCGCGAGAAGCGGCTCTCCATCCGCAGAAACTCTATGCGCACGCGCGCGGCCACCACCAGTACTGCCCAACGCAAAGCAAGCACAACCTCCACAGGCGGTGTGTGTGTGTGTGTGTGTGTGTGTGTGTGTGTGTGTGTGTGTGTGTGTGTGTGTGTGTGTGTGTGTGTGTGTGTGTGACTCATCTGTCTGTTTTTGCCTGTCTGCCTGTATGTCTGTTGCTGTTTTTGCCTGTCTGCCTGTACGCATTTGTATGTATGTTGCTGGTCTGACATTTTTGCTTCACCTTCTTGCTTTTGCCTCATGTCTAGTTCTAGAGTTCTGCTCTGCTTGCTTGCACGCAATATCTTTCCGTCTTTCACCTTCATCCCACGCATGCTGCTGTTGTGTGTCCATCGCTCACATTCAACTCCCTGCCCCCCCCCCCCGGGGTGCCACTCCCAACCAACCAACTGGTCAACCAACCAACCAGCTCCTGCGGGCCCCAAGACAGGCTCACTGCGCGGCGGTGGAGTGCTTGACTTCCGCAAAACGCCTCTTCAAGAACAGCGATGGTACTTTGCCAGCATGACGCAAACCGATGCCATTCGCGTGCTTGTTGAGCGCGCGCCAGCGGGCGGGTTCCTCGTGTTCCCTTCTGGGCCGCCGCAGGAGTACGAGGTGTGCGTCAAGGAGGGCGCACGTGACATACGCAGCATGAAGATGATTCCACATGTGGAGGAGGACAGCCAGATCTACTACACGCTGGAGGGGCACGAGATGCTGTTCAGGAGCGTGGTGCTGCTTGTGTGGTACTTTGGCCACCACCCGTATGCACACAGCGAGGACGGGCAGCCGCTCATGTTCCGTCTTCCTCGCCGCCGCAAGTCCAAGACGCAGCAGGTGAGCTCAGCCAAAATGCGTATGCGTGCACGTGGGTGCATGTGGGTGTTGTACTTGGGGTGTGTGTTGGTTGTGTCAAAGTGTGAGCGCTGTGAGCGGGCATGGTTCACACGTGCAAGCGTGAACGTACTTGAGTGCACCCGCGTGCACCTGTTTGTATCCTCTCCCGCACCACTGAACCATTGGCCGTGCCTCTGTCTGTGCAGAAGGATGTGGACCGGCCCCGCTCACACATTTCAAAGGAGATTCCTGCGACCAAAAAGCGAGCCAGTGGCACCGCCGACGCAAGCGGCGATGCACCGGCACAGCAACAGGCTGCCAGCACCGCAGGCACGGCAACGCAAAGCACGCACATCTTAGAGCCCGAAACGCAGCACCATCAGCAGCAGCAAGACCAGCAGCAGCAACAGCAGCAACAACAAGCGCAGGTGCACGGTGGCGAAGAAGGTGCGGCTGAGGTGTCACCGAGAACAGAATCGCAACAAGAGCGCGCTGCACAAGGAGAAGATGGCGAAACACTACAGAGAGAGGGGCAAGTGGCCAAGGACCATGCCGAGCAGGACGCGGCAACCACTTCACCCGCACAGCAGCAAGAAGAAACGACGGAAGCTGTCAATGTGGAGGTGGAGGAGGAAGGCGCACGGGAGCCAAGAGACGTTGAGCACGAGAGCGGAGAGAAAGGGAATGAGGAGACAGCGAAGGTGAGTGACGATGGTGGTGCTGGCAGTGTCAACGAGGAGGAGGAGAGAAAGGAGAAGGGGGAAAGGGAGAAGGAGGAAAAGGAGAGAAAGGAGAAGGAGAAGGAGGAAAGGGAGAAGAAGGAGAAGGAGGAAAGGGAGAAGAAGGAGAAGGAAGAAAGGGAGAGGAAGGAGAAGGAGGAACGGGAGAGGAAGGAGAAGGAGGAAAGGGAGAGGAAGCAGAAGGAAGAAAGGGAGAAGAAGGAGAAGGAGGAAAGGGAGAAGAAGGAGAAGGAGGAAAGGGAGAGGAAGGAGAAGGAGGAAAGGGAGAAGAAGGAGAAGGAGGAAAGGGAGAGGAAGGAGAAGGAGGAAAGGGAGAGAAAGGAGAAGGAGGAAAGGGAGAGAAAGGAGAAGGAAGAACAGGTGCGTCAGGAACGCGAAACCAAGAGGGAGAAGGAGAAAGAAGAACAACAGGACAAGCAGGAGCACGATGCCTCTGCTACCTCCTCTGTGCCCTTGAGGCGAACCAGCGATGAGGAGTACGCCATGAGTGAGCGTGAGCGCCAGCTGCGAGACCTGGACGAAGAAGCCACCCGCACCCGCCTCAGCTCCATCAGCTTTGACTTCACCTTCAACTGAATTGCCAATGTGGTTTGAAAGCCGACCTTGCCTTCTAGTTCTTGCATGTGCTGGCAGGGAGGAGCACCCAACAACCAAGGTGGTTGGTGTAGTGGTGTACACCACAACAGAACCTCTGTCGATTGATTTTCCCTCCCCTTCCCTCCCTCTGCCTTCTTACCCACGCCTACAGAGATACTAGAGAGATGGGAGGTGGGTTTGTTTGTGTGTAGATGAAGGAACGGGGTGCGACTTCGACCCCATCTGTTACCTTCACCAAAGCATGCCATTGTCCTTTTTCCCCTTGTCAGTGACCTTGTTTCCATGCAGCTTTGCTTGTTCTTGTTTGACTGTGTCATTCGTGTTTGCATCCTTCATATCTTCATCCCTTTATCCACTGGTCTACTGGTACTTGTGACCAAGGGCACCTTCCTGCTGCCTGCGGCTTCATAGTAGACGGTCATTGCCTTAGTGCCTTGTTTGCGTCGACTCATCGACCTGTGCTTGTGGCAGCATGCTCTGCTCTGCCTGTCTTCTCTTGAATCCCGCGCGTCTGTGCGTCTGTGCGTCTGTGCTTGTCTGCTTGAGCGAGTGAGGAGTGAACTTGCTTGCTTTTGCTTGCTGCGGAGGTTTGCTTGCAGGCTTGCTGCGAGGTTCGCTTGCTCGCATGCACTCATGCCGCCCAACTGCCTTCTTGCTTGCTTGCTTGCTGCACAATACACGGTGTGTAGTTTCGTTGGTAGGGTGGCAAAATTTCTACAAACAAATTCGTTGCTGGTGTTTGTGTACGTTTGGTGAGTGTGCTCTCGCTCCTTGTCACCCACCACCCACCTGTGTCTGTCTTGTGTGCTGCTTGTGTGTGTTGCTCCTGACCAGCAAGCAAACAAGCAAGCAAGCAAACAAACATCATCACCATCATCTACGCACGCTCACGCAGTAGCTGTCCTTCCCCGCTTTTGTTCAGAAAACCCCGTACAAAGTAGAAGAAGAAAGCGTGAGTGTGCGTCTGTTTTTGCCACCAAAGCATGGGTGATTCGGTGAGCATGTTTGCGTGTGTGTATGTGTGTGTGTGTTGTGTGTTGTGTGTATGTGCGTGTTGTGTGTTTGTATGTGTGTATGCGGGTGTATGTATGTGTGGGTGTTTTTGTGTATGTGCTTGGTGATGACTCTCGTGGCCGCCATTTGTCTGTTTGTTGGCTGGTTGGTGAGCGCGGTTGATTGATGGCTGTGTCGCTACAAGCACACACACATGCACACGAACGCACACACACACACTCACACACATACACACGCGCACATACGCCCCCTTTCTCATATACACACACACACACACACACACATCTGCTGTTGATCCTTCAGTCCCGTCGATTTGGATCTCAGGACAATCTTCTCAGCATGGGTGACGACGACAGAGGCGTTGACCCGGCGCCCCCAGCGCCCCGACGCCGCACTTCCAATTCAGATGCCACCAACGGTGCCAACGGCCGATCCGCTTCAAATGGCCGCCCTCGCGGCGTCCGCGTACGTTTTGTGTTTATGGGTGTTTGTGTGTGAGTATGTATGTGGGTGTGTGGGTGTGTGGGCGTGTGGGTGGGTGTGTGGGCGTGTGTGGGCGTGTGTGGGCGTGTGTCTATTACTCTGTCTCTCTGTCTCTGTCTGTCTGTCTCTCTCTCTCTGTCTCTCTCTCTCTCTCTGTCTCTCTCTCTCTCTCTGTCTCTCTGTCTCTCTCTCTCTCTCTCTCTCTCTCTCTCTGTCTGTGTCCCCTTGTGCCTTTGAAAGCGATCCGCGTGCCCACACGACACAAGAACGCCTTCCTTTTCGCTCACATGTTCCGGTACTTGGTCTGCGTCTTGTTGTTGCCACAGGCCAATCCACGCGAGCCCCTGCTTCATCCACAAAACGGAGCACGCGGCCAGCCCGTCAACAGCCAGCCACGCTACACACCAGAAGAGGTGTTGTTGCCGTTCCTCTACACGTGGTTTTGTTGCACGAGAGTGGATGCATTGAGGAGAGATGAGCCGATGCATTTGAATGCCATGTCCACCAGAAACACAAACAGCCGTCCGTTCTTCACCCATACACACACACGCACACACGCACCGACACACGTGTGGTAGGTTGAGGAGCTTCGCCGCCGCCGCTTGGCCGAGATTGAGCAGATTGAGCAGGAACTGGAGCTCAAATACGGCGCAGGTGCGGATGGCGTGACGTTGGTGAAGAGAGGTGGATGTTTAGCCATTGACGCAAAGGGCGCAGGGCTGGTGGTCTCGTGATATATAGCAATGTCTATGTGCGTTCGTGTGTGTACATGTGAGTGTTTGTGATTGTGTTTGTGTTTGTGCATGTGTTTGTGTACATGTGAGTGTTTGTGATTGTGTTTGTGTTTGTGCATGTGTTTGTGTACATGTGAGTGTTTGTGATTGTGTTTGTGTTTGTGTATGTGTTTGTGTTTGTGTTTGTGCTTGTGTCGTTTTCCATGACAAGAGAGCATGTGTCCTGACACTGCCATGACCAACACACGCGTGCAGAATCTGTGCTTGCGCTGATCAAGCCCGTCTCCGTGTGCATGATTGTCGTCATCGCCACCATCCGCTCCGTCGCGTACTTCAGCACAAACGACACACAGTTTGTGTACGTTATCGCAATGTGACGTGTGTGTGTGTGTGTGTGTGTCTGTGTGTGTCTGTGTGTGTGTGTGTGTGTGTGTGTGTGTGTCTGTCTGTCTTTCCATCGTCATCGTCTGATTTTCTATTTTTTGTGATGTGTACATTGCCTACATGCGAGGCTCCTGCCTACGTCCCCCAACCCTAACCCGAACCCTAACCCAAAGACTTGATGCACTTTCAACGCTCCTCTAACGCGGCTGCGTCCTTTGCATTCGTGCCATGGCCACCACGGCGCAGGTACACCCCCTATGAGAGCAACAACCCCAATGCGTCCAACTCGGAGAAGTTTGGCGGCGCCATCCTCAATGCCCTCATCATCATCGGCATCGTCGTTGGCATGACCTGCGTGCTCCTCCTCCTCTACAAGTACCGCTGCTACAAGGTGAGCGCTTTTGTGTGTGTGTGTGTGTGTGTGTGTGTGTGTGTGTCTGTGTGTGTCTGTGTGTGTGTCTCTGTGTGTCTCTGTGTGTCTCTGTGTGTCTCTGTGTGTCTCTGTGTGTCTCTGTGTGTCTCTGTGTGTGTGCTTGCTCGTCTGTGGCTTTGTGCACTACCCCCTCTCTTTCCCTGCGTTGCATTGCCGTTCACTGACCACATCGCCTGCTATGCGCGACTGCTCCCCCCCCCCCTGCCCGCAACCACGATCCCCCCCCCCCCAATCTCCCCAGGCCATCCATGGCTGGCTGCTTCTGTCGTCCCTCCTCCTCCTCTTCTTCTTCAGCTACCAATTTGTCGAGTACGTTGCGTTGCATTGCGCCTGCTGCTCATGTTGGGGTGCATTGGAGCGAGGGGAGGAGACAGCCCTGCCACTTCACCACGCGCAGTGTGCGATCCTATGGCCATGGCCCCAAGTCATGCACGATGCATGATCGTGAACAACATACCACCACTGCTCACAACTAAACCAACCAACCACACCAAATCAAACCAACCAATCACACGCGACCATCACCACCATCACCAACCGTGACCACAATCAAAACCCAACCACTGCGCCGACAGCCAAGTGCTGCGCGCGTACAACTCGACACTCGACTGGATCACCATGGTTGTCTCCATCTGGAACTTTGGCGTTGTTGGCCTAATCTGCATCCACTGGAAGGGCCCATTGCTGCTGCAACAGGTCTACCTTGTCGCCGTCTCGGCCCTCATGGCCCTCGTCCTCATCAAGAACGTACGCTTGCTCCCCAGCTGCTCGTTTTGCAAAGGGGTTGTGTCTTTGTATGCTTGTGTGCGTGTGAGTGTGTCTGTGTGTTTCTGTTTCTGCGTGTGTCTGTGTGTTTCTGTTTCTGCGTGTGCGTGTGTATCTGCGTGTGCGTGTGCGTGTCTGTGTCTGTGTGTGTCTCTGTGTTTCTGTTTCTGCGTGTGTTGTGTTCATTATTGTCTGTTTGCATCCATGATCTGTCGCCACGTTCCACACCTCGCCCTCACCCTCCCAACTGCATTCCTTCCCCTTCCCCTTCCCCACGTGTTCATCGCTGCCTGCAGTTGCCTGACTGGACGACGTGGGTTGTCCTCGCCGCCATCGCCATCTACGATCTCGTTGCTGTCCTCTCCCCATGTGGTCCCCTCAAGGCTCTCGTCGAAACTGCACAGGTGTGTGTGTGTGTGTGTGTGTGTGTGTGTGTGTGTGTGTGTGTGTGTGTGTGTGTGTGTGTGTGTGTGTGTGTGTGTGTGTGGAGGGGGGTGAGGGAAAGTGTGTGTGTGTGTGTGGAGGGGGGTGAGGGAAAGTGTGTGTGTGTGTGTGGGTGGGTGGGTGAGGGAAAGTGTGTGCGTTATTGTGTAGGCCGCGTTTTAGTTTGCATACGCTGAGCCACACAAGACTCTCACTGTCACATACGCTCACACACGCTTTCCATACATAACGACACTCACATACATTCGCACACACACTCACACTCACATTCACACATTCTGTTTTGGCTGCAGGAGCGCGACGAGCCGCTGTTCCCTGCACTCATCTACTCCTCGACAATGGCGTGGATCGTGAACATGGCAGACACGGGCGAGCGCACACAGACCCAGTCAACATCCCTCACAAACGGCGCACAAACTCAACCACAGCAGCAGCAGCAGCAGCAGCAGCGTGGTGGCACCGCCACGTCGTCGTCATCGCACGGCCACCACCGCCGTCGCAGCCGGCAGTCGAGCAGCAGTCCCAACGCAGACGACGTTGAGCTGCTGGCGGATATCGGGGGCAGCCCTGCGCCAAACAGAGCACGCACAGCAGCGTCTCGCCCGCCTGCAAACGTACAGCTTTGTTTGCTTGCTTGTTTGCAGGGTTGCATGTGCACTTGTGTGACGTCGACACTGCGACCTCTCTCCTCTCCCTCACTTTCATTTCTTCTTCGGAATCAAACTCACGCCGCATGTTCACCTTCTTTCCACTACTTTCTCGTCTGCTGTAGGGTGATGTTGAGCGCCGCACCCCGACACAGCAGCCACAGCAGCCACAGCAGCAGCAGCAGCAGCAGCAGCAACAGCAAGGCGACGACGAAGGTTTGTCGACGGCGTGTGTGTGTGTGTGTGCGTGCATTGGAGTGTTACTGCTCTCCCCAAGGCTCGTTGGTTTTTTCTCTCTCTACGTATACTCACGCATGTACGTGCACTTCGTGTTGTCTGCGCTCCGCTTTCTCCATCAACACCCCGATGCCATATTGGTCAGAGCACACTGGCGTCAAGCTTGGTCTGGGCGACTTTATCTTCTACAGTGTGTTGGTTGGCAAGGCCGCCACTGCAGACAAGTGGACCACCATCGCCGCCTGCTACGTCGGCATCCTCATCGTACGTGTCTTTTGTGTGTGTGTGTGTGTGTGTGTGTGTGTGTGTGTGTGTGTGTGTGTGTGTGTGTGTGTGGTGTGTGGTGTGTGTGTCTGCGTGTGTCTGCGTGTGTCTGTGTGTGTCTGTCTTGTCTGTCTGTCGGCGTGTCTGCATGTGTCTGTCTGCATGTGTGTATGTGTGTGTGTTTGCAACTGCTCAGTAGGGGAAACCAATGGGCCTCGCGTCTCTCCTCCCATTTGTTGCGATCAACTGCTTGCCTACACTTGTGCATCCAGGTTTTCCCCACCTCACACGCACACACACACATATTCAAACCACAGGGGCTGGCGTGCACGCTGTTGTTGCTGTCCATCTTCCGCAAGGCGCTGCCTGCGCTTCCGATTTCCATTGCCTTTGGCCTCGTGTTCTACTTTGCCACATCAGAGGTGCTTGATCCCCTCATCAACCAGCTCAACGACCGCCAAGTCTTCATCTGACCCCTTAACCATGTCTCCGTGTCTGTATTGTGTGTAACTGTTTGTGTGTGTGTGTGTGTGTGTGTGTGTGTGTGTGTGTGTGTGTGTGTGTGTGTGTGTGTGTGTGTGTGCGTGCGTGTGTGCCTGTGTTGTGTGATTGATGCGCGTGTGTGTGCTGTGTGTGTCTTTGTGCCTGTGTGTGACTGTGTGATTGAGGTGATGTGACCTGACTTGACACAAGGTGGCGAGTGTCCTGTTGGTGTTGACACGCCTTCATATCACCCGCCACGCAGACTTGCCTTTCTCCTTTGTTCTTGCGCCTTCCCCTTTCCTTTGGAAGATATGCCGACTTCTCTAAAAATGACAAATCGCTGCATTTGAAGGCGCCCGCAAAGACAAGCAAGACAAGCAGCCGCAAAAGCACAAGAAGAAGCAAAGGCAGGAAGCAAAGCAGCTGAACCACCACCACCACCACCACCACCAGCAGCAGGAGGAGGAAGCAGTCGGGAGGGCTTCACCGAACCACACGCGCACACACGCGCACACACGCGCACACACGCGCACACACGCGCACACACGCGCACACACGCGCACACACGCGCACACACGCGCACACACGCGCACACACGCGCACACACGTGCACACACGGCCTGCGTGCTTGTGATGGACGGCGCGTTCATCGAGTCTGGGCAAGAGACCTCAGACTTGCCAACCACACCAATGGGCCACGAGTTTGCGGTGGGCAGCGGCGGCGCAGTAGTCGAGGACGACACCCTGGACGAAGACGACTTACCCCAGCCACACAGCCATCGCACGTCCATCAGCAACGCCCCTGTTGCTCGCAGGCCCAGTGGCGTTGGCGGCAACGTTCGCAGTGACGCACATCGGCGCACTTCGTCGAGCGTCGTGGGCGTGCCGTCTGTTGCAGATGGCGGGATCATTTCGCGACGAAGCATGCCGGCCGGCGTTGGCGGCGTTGGTGGCGTTGGCAACGCTGTAAGTGGCAGTGATGACATCGGCGGTGGTGCAGATGCGCGCCTGCGGCGGGGTGGAAGGAGCGCACTTTCCCGGCGGCGTGACCGCGTCCCTGACAAAGGGAGACGCCGCCGCAGCAAACAAGCTGTTGGCAATGTCCAGCCACGCCGCAGCCCCATGACGCGGGCCAGCAGGCGGCGCGCCACCACCAGCACCTGGGTGTCAAGCCACGAGCACGCGCATGAGGCTGACGATGAAGAGGAGGAAGAGGACTTTGGGTCCGGCGTCAGGGTGGTTGACGATGAGGACATGGGCGGCTTGGACGTGGACGAGGAGGAAGATGAGGACGACGAAGAAGAGGAGGAGGACGAAGAAGAAGACAAGGGGCGGATGTTTCGAAGAAGGCATCGCCTCACGCAGTCGCAGCTGCAGGAACTCGTAAGCGTGCACACACAGCTCGACTCGCTCTACGACCAGACACACCACCCTGGTCAGCAGTATGCGGACAACTATGCCTGCGGCACGCTGGACGTGCACGACTTTGTGCTGCGCGATGAGAGCGACCCCGTGTTTGCGGCGAAGAAGCGCGCTGCGTACAAGCCGCCGCAGTTCCCGCCACCGCACGCGCGGCGCCGCGGCCGCCACCGCCGGCAGTATCTCCATCCCCAACGCCAGGACGGCGACCACGACGGGCGCATTTGGCGGGAACGCCAGCGCACAGACTCACACATGACAGACCTGGCCATCAGCGGTTACAGCGTGGTCAGCAGCCATGCCGATGTGCTGCAGCACAGCGACGCGCCACAGTCGGATATGGACAAGCCCAGCGACGAAGTGGACGCGGTGCAGTTGCTGAGAACTGGTCGCGAGGCCCCCCTGCACCACCACGAAGACCATCAACAGCAACAGCAACAGCAGCAGCAACAGCCAGCGAGTGGCAGTGTGCCACAGGCTGTGTCGATGCAACGGAGTGATGGTGATGACGATTCTGTGGTGCGTCCAGGGGAGCAACAGCACAGTGACGTGGTTGACACAGGTGGTGAGCAAGCAATGAGAATACGGCAAGGCGAGGGCGATATTGATGTTGTTAATGGCGGTGATGGTGGTGATGGCAGTGGTGGTGGTGGTGGTGGTGATGGCAGTGGTGGTGGTGGTGGTGGTGGGACTGGTGGTGTTGTTGTTGGGACTGGTGGTGTTGGTGATGGGACTGGTGGTGTTGTTGTTGGGACTGGTGGTGGCGGTGGCGGTCGTGATGGGGGTACTGGTGGGACTGACGACGGTGGTGCGAAAGGGGTGGTGGATGCGCGGCAGTTTGATCGTGACTACCGGAGCGACGCGGAGCCAGAGGGTGGGGTGGTTGCAGATGATAGTGGCAAGATGTACATCCAGCAGCATGTACCACCACAACAGCAACCACAACAGCAACCACAGCAGCAGCAGGAGGAGGAGGAACCCTTGCAGCAGCCACAACAACAGGCGTTTGGGGTGAGCGCACCACAGGACGCAGGTGCGTGGCAGGAGCCACAGAGCACTGGTGACGGGGATGCCAACGGGAATGTTACCACTGTTGAACAACAACAACATGAGCTGTTGGCACCATACTCGGCAGAGACGATGGCAGCAAACCACCAGCAGCCCGGCCAGGTGGCGGGGACCAATGGTGTCGGTGTCGCACAGCAGCAGCAGCAACAACAACAACAACAACAACAACAACAACAACAACAGCAACAGCAGCAGCAGCAGCAGCAGCAGCAGCAGCCGGCATCACAGTTGGTTGAAGCTCCTACACCGCCCGAGGAGCGCGCCCTACCAATCGCGATGGCGCCCGCAGTTGAGAATGGACATGGCCCTGTGGTGGTTGCCGATGTGCAGCAACCCACGCATGCAGACCAGCAGCCCATGCAAGCGGAACAGCATCAACACGATCACCATCATCACCACCATCACCACAAACCTGAAGACCTCCATCAACAACAACAACAACAACAACACAACAACAACAACAACAACAACAGACAACAACAACAACACGACACACACACACACACACACACACACACACACACAACGACAACAACAACAACAACAACAACAGCTACAAGAACTACCACATCCATCGGCGACGAAGTAGCAAGACGTGGCTTCGGACGACAACATCGTCTACGTGTGGTTGCTACAAGACCCCTCCTCCTTGGCCTGCGTTTCGGGGACCTTTTCAACATATACACGCTCGACCGCCCCGCACATCTTAAATTCTCTCCGGCCCCCTACCCTCTACCTTTCCTTCTTTCTGCTTTTT